CCAAATCCTCCTCTAATTAAGGACAGTGGTTTAAGTGTCAGTTCAATATAAAAACTATAAAATCAGTTGAAAAGGGTTTTTTTTCTGCTCTTGAGTCAGGTTATTTTTATACATTCCCGTTTTCATTCTCAATTTTATTAACTCATTAGAATGCAACAAAGCAGAAAAACAGCTACCAAAAACACAGACCCGATATGTGGCTGGATATTTATTCTTTCCCTGTAACAAAAAAGACTCAACATACCGATCTATTAGTATTCACAGTTACTGACAGCTAATTCATAGCAAATATCAACTAATAAAATAAACATTTTGTGAGCATTCAACCCACCCCTAACCTAGGACAGAGGTTTTAATAACAGCACAACCTTTGAACAAACTGTAAACATTTGTTGCAATTGGCTTAACTCAAAAGACTGCAACAAAGCACAAAAACAACTAATATGAAAACCATAGACAAAAAGCACTGAAATAAGAGTTCTTACGATTTTAAATATTCAAATGAAAGTTTTATCAAAATGTATATAAACATGATAAAGTAGCCATTTTATTGCTGTATTTCTTTTCATTTATAATTTTTGAGTTCTGTGTATTTGTAGGTCAGACATCTTGGTTTTCATGATCATCATTCAACAGGTCAATACTGAACTGAAAACTTAAAGTTGATATTTTTCTACATAGTGTGACTTTTTTATTAATTTGAAATGGAATGTGTTTTTTTCCTACATAAGAAAGAGGAAATTTCAACATAATGACTATAAACAAAAAGGAGTCATATTATCATGATCATAGATGCACAAGAACTAAATCATGTAAATGCAACAACGTAATTATCAATTGAAAGAATGGAGGATTGAAAAAATATATTAGTATTTTGTTGTCCAAATGAACTTGCTTTGTCCACTCATTTAAATCGCTCCATCCAATAAAGATGTACGGAGGAAGATTTTTGAAGAACAGATTGCAAAAATGTTTTGTCTAAGAATTGTAGGAATATCCTAGTGGATGAAATAATTTATTTACTTGACTCTTATATAGTGGACTGAATAATTGTACATAGCAAGCTGAAACAAGAAAACTAAAACTTAACAGGAAAAGTGTTTATTTTATAAATTTGCAAATATAAACGTAATATTATGAACACCACAAAGGTATGAGATTCAAATCGTTTGCATATTCATGTATTGCAGTGGAACTATAACAAAGAAAATTTACCTCATTAAAAGAGTAAACTATTAACTGTGCTTTGTCAATTTATTCAGTCAGAATATGAAATATTTTTTTCAGTTCTATTTTTCATAATAAAACAAACAAGACAAAGATTTCAAATCAATATTTTTTTCTTTTATTAAGACATGTCATCATTTTATTTCAGTTAAAGGATTTTATTTTTTTACTTTAAATATTATTATACTTTCAAAAATAATAATAATCTTTATTGTCATATAAGCAAATTAAAAACATGTTTGTGACAAATGAAAAAAAAACAAAATACACTCGTATATATATTATAAACTTTTTACTACCAAACAGAATTCATTGTAACATACACATTACTGTATATTTATAATTTGAATTCCATAGGATTTTATTTTGTCTCATGGGATATTAAAAATCCCATGGGATAATTATAGTCCCATGGGATTTATTTTGTCCCATGGGACAACAAATATCCCATGGGACTACTATTATCCCATGGGACCCAAAAAAATCCTATGGGATTTAACCAAAATCCCATGGGATAATGGTAAATCCCATGGGATTTGCCCTATCCCATGGGATATTGAAAATCCCATGTTTTTCTAAATCAAATTACAAAATATATATAATAATAACAGCAGAAAAGCAATGAAATTATTGAATCCCATGTAATTCCGCACATTTTGGTTATATACACGACACTGTAGGTCTAAGGAGAGGCGGCGGCGGATTTGCAAATGAGTGTTTTGCAAATTAAAAGTGTCCAGTGTTTATAGATTTTAACCGTTTTCATATTTATTAATAGTAGTCTTAAAGAGTATACTTCTTTTACATATAGCACATTCCATAAGAGCACATTTTTTCAGACTTTCTTCTTGAGTAGCAGATGGTTCCCTATAATACACTTTAAGTTAAAAAACAATAACATCTGACTGTCATTTATTACTATCAGTTTTATTTTTAAACCATTCATTTCTAAATATATTGATGTATCAATGTCGTGGATCACTTGGTAAGTTCATGAGTCCTACGTACAAATCAGATAAAGTCAACTACTCAAATATAATGTTTTCATTATATCGTGTTATAATAATAGTTCTTCGTTAGAAGCGTCAATATAACATACAGTCTTTAAAACAAACTGAGCTCTGGTTTTCTTTGAAATAACCGGATAGTTAATATAAAAATAAGAAGATGTGGTATGATTGCCATTGAGATCACTCTCCACAAGAGACCAAATGACACAGACATTAACAACTATAGGTCACCGTACGGCCTTCAACAATGAGTAAACCCATAACGCATAGTCAGCTATAAAAGGCCCCGAAATGACAAATGTAAAACAATTCAAACGAGAAAAAGAACGGCCTGATTTAAGTTAAGCCTAATTTTATTTTTCTGTGCAAATTTTCAAAATATCTCATTGATTATTATTATTGAATCCACAATCAGTATAAAAATAACATTATTTTACAGTTCAAAAATGGCAGATTGTTTTCTAAGTCACACGTTCTAACATTGAGATTTAACGAGGTGCCACGTGAAATCAAATTCAATAGAATATCGGTCAAACAATTTATGACAATAGAATATCGGTCAAACAATTCATGACAATAGAATATCGGTCAAACAATTCATGACAATAGAATATCGGTCAAACAATTCATGACAATAGAATATCGGTCTAGAATATCGGTCAAACAATTCATGACAATAGAATATCGGTCAAACAATTCATGACAATAGAATATCGGTCAAACAATTCATGACAATAGAATATCGGTCAAACAATTCATGACAATAGAATATCGGTCAAACAATTCATGACAATAGAATATCGGTCAAACAATTAATGACAATAGAATATCGTAAAATCTTACATTTAAAATCAATGGCGATTCGTACGTTCTGATATTCTGTGCAATAATATACTTGTAATTGAATTTTTAAACGCGGTGTAGTACATATGGCAAGCAATTTAATTGGTAACATGTCTATATGTGCCTAGTTGTCTTTTTGTACGTGGCACTCTAAAACTATGAAAATTACGAAAAAAATTGCATGATTAAAATCTCGATATCCCATTCTGAGAATAAACCATTTTGTAGTATTTAATGGAAAATGTGGAATAGTTGGTGTAAATCTCTGTGTGGCACATTCATGTTGTAAAAGTACGGAGAGATTTTATTTTACTGTGTATGAAAGAAAAAAAATGTCAAGTATAACGGATGACTTGTTTGTTGATATAATTTATTAAAAGAAGACGCGGCTGTCATAAAACTGCTTATTGAGCTTTTCGGAGCATTTTGCTGGTATATGGAAAAAGCTTCAAAGACGCTGGATGTTTATTATAACTGAAACAATACAGTTTTTTCCAAGTGCCTTTGTGCTTAAATCAGATATCCTTTTCAGATTAGGAATGCTTGAGGAAGTTTCATTTGGAGACATTTAATTTATTTATGCTATTCTTTTATACATTAGTCTATACAAGCACACTGTATTTATTTAATATAAGATCAGAAGATGTGGTACAAATGTATGATGGCCTATGAGATAACTTTCCAACAAAGACCAAATGAAGCGGATTTAAGCAATTACAGGTTCTGCACTGTACGGCCTTCAACAATGAACAAAACCCATGCCTTATAGTTATTATAGTTAGCTTACAAGGCCCCGACATGAAAAAATGTGAAACAATTAAAAAAAAAAAGCGGCCTGATTTATGACAAAACAATAAACGAAAACCTGATTCATGTATAACAGACAATAAATACAAAAAATACAGGGGCATGACAAGGGACAGGCACGCATAGCATGTTGCTAGGTTACGTATAATTTCATGTAGACGAGGGTGGGAATGAGGCAACCTACGTGACAGTTAACAGGATTTTTTTGTTTCCAGTATAACGATAACGACGTTTGACGCTATACGACGAAGACTGTTCCTCCCTTTCCAGAGACCTGAGAATAGTTCAGAGATCGATAAATAACATAAATGTGTCTTTCCCCCTAAATACAATTATCTTATTGTACATAACACTAGATATCAGTAACTCGACAACACTCATATCCCATACATAGCACTAGATCTTTTCATTGTATAGGCATTGGCTTTTTGGGAACACATCTATCAATCAATCTTCTAATATTTTGTTTTGTTAACGCATCGATACGTCGTCTGCTCATTTGCGTCTTTTATATTATAGTACATACAATATGTGTGTCTTGTATTTATCTTATTTGATATTTGGGATATCGATTTCGGGACCAACACAACTCTTTAAAGATGCAAAAAAAACAAGATGTTAAAAATGAATTGCTACTACTACTTATCATCTCAAATCTCTCTTTAATGAACACGATGAATGAAGAAAAATAGGAGTATAATTTCGATTGTAAATATATGCCAACGTCTGCATTTGTTTGCAAAGAGAATAGACTTTCAGAAAAAGCATATTTATTAACTAATTTGAAGTCTAACGTTATATTTTATATTCTTTATTTTTCGATGTTATGAAAAACTCAGTGAGTAAAACGACACATAGTTAGTAATTTTTTGATTGGTTAAAATTGAAAACAACACTTTAAAAATGTCATGCGTCCTAAGCGCTTTTCTAGATTTACCTTCATCAGGATCGCTTAAAGCCGAGTACTTGAAAGCCAATGATTTATAAGAACCGAAACAGCTGAAGAGCAATGTGATAAAAACTCCTTACTATTACTCTTTTCCGCTTTATCTTTGTTCATATGCGAGTTGATTAATCGTTATATATACCAAGTCATTTTGTTTTCTTTTTCAGGAATATAATTACAATTTAGAGGATTCTCCAAACAATGGATACTCAAGATTTCCAAGCAACGGCAACGCGAATTCTCTTCCACGTGACTATATGAAAACATTTTATGATAAAAACACTGCCACATGGGAAACTCATTTGTAGTAAAGCATTTTATGATAGGATAATAATCAAATTTGAGATACGTTGATTGAATTAAACGTGTGTGAAACAACGAAGAGTAGGCCTGTATAGACAGTGTTATTGACAATGAACAACTGCATGGTACTTGTTCGGTTTATGCCATCTAATGGCCTTACCGAGACTTACCGAGTATATGATTTGGAATAAAAAGACGAAATAGTTTATTTTGTGACTTAGTCACAAAGGATAGTGGTCACTAAATGCAACGTTAGGAAAGACTATTGGAATCAAATCCAAAATTCTAGGCGTGCTCAACTTTTGTATTTATTATTGAAATGTGTATCATGAATTATGTATATATTAAGTTGTAAAAATTAGTTGGGAAATTAGGTTTTGAATCACAGTAAAAACCCATAATAATTTCAAATACACCAGTAACAATTCAAGAACAAATACAAATGTCCGAAATGATTTACATTCGTATTAAGCATTCATAATTTAAGTTTTTTTATAACCCGGGCATACATATTTTAAAGCTTATATCAGTAAAAATACTATTGAACTATTTTATACTGATCTGATAAAAGTAAAACATTTTTATTGTTACTGGTTACAGACTCGGATTTCGAAAACAAAAACACAGAAAGAATATGCCATTGTGTAAAATAGTAATTATTTTTTGAAATATACTATATGTTGTCCAAATGGTGCTTAATATAGGATTTTGTAACTTTTATTAGCATTCGCTTTTGACAATTCTGAATAGATTTCTTTCGATAAGTAGATGAATTTGATAAAGTGCAACTTTTATTCCAGGATGAATATGTTTTGAAATGAAACCATTGTTAAACCTTGGTGTAAACTAAATTTTTAAAATATTAGCTACGGGTATAAATGCCTATGGTGGGGATAGTGTAAAATTGAATTGGTAAACCTTTTTTAAGGATTTCACATAAACCGACATGAAAAGTGCATATAATGGGTTTCAATTCCTGATCACAACGTATTTATAATGAAGATTATCTGATAACCTCCAAAAATATTCATTGTTTATTTTGATAATTGTACATCAATATAACTTTGATTATCAAAATTAACAATACATTCCCTCAGAGAAGAAAGGTTATGTTGACTATATACGAATAAAACATAGTCACATGACCGAGGAGCCTTTGGGTACCACCTTAACTAACGTTCATATCATTCTGTGGAAACTCAATTTAGTTAAATATATTGTTGATTTGTGCACATATATTATTTGTTGATATATTTATACATTTTTATTTTTACATTTATAACATATTTGTGATTGTTGTTTTGTCTGGTTTACATGTACACCTTATGCTAGCAGATTAACTTTTGTGATGGAAATACATGCTAAGATAGTGTCTTTTCAAAGCTCTATATTTTGATTGATGTGTTGGTTATCAAATTAAAGTAAGCTGTAAAAAATGTCAAATTATAATAGTAATTAATTGGGAATCCCTGACACAGTAGAAGAAATTAGTGAAAATAATCCTTATTAGTTAATAAACACCAATTTCTTTCTATATAAGCTGTTTCGGATTTATCACTTCAACCAAAATTGAAATTCTCCGACTTTCGTAAACATTTTGGGAAGTTCGATATTGTCAACGGAAAAACACGACAATTTTCAAGGCATGATTTCAAAGTATGTAAACTGTAGTAAAATTGCAATAAATGATGAACCAATCAATTAGGACTGGTGAATTCTTATCTGTAAAAGAATTGTGATCAAAAACATTCCATGAAAAATTGAAATATTCCAATAAATTATATATTTATATATTTTTGTACTTCTTAGACCTGTTAGATGATTTGTTTATAACTTTCTTCTTGTTTCTTATTTTGTAAATAAATAATATACTAAATAAAAGGGAGGGTCTGTCTAATTATTGATTGTTATTTTCTAGTTTTTGTTTTAAAATCAAACAGATGTGATGGCATTATAATAAAGATGCAATTTGACAGGGCATTGCTTAAAAGTTAGGTATTTGAATCGTGTTGTACAAAAGAAAAGATTTATTGTAAACTACGATTGGTTAACAACGCCCTAAATACAACGAATATCCGACATATGGCGTCACCTGATGCTTCTATTTGCGGTGTAAGATCAATGCAATTAACCGTCATTCTGTTGAATCTTAATTGACGAATTACATAAACTTATGCATGGATAATACATTAAGTAATAAAAATGGTGTATATTTTCTTTAATATGCAAACTAAAAACAACAGTCAGTTTATTCGTTTAATCAGCTCATAAGTTTACTAATGTGCAAATTTTAGGGTGTGCTGCTTAATATCGTAAAGTTATCGGAAAAAATCTCAAGTTTATATAAATTCTAAGGGTAATAATTGTTTTTACGTCTCAGTTTACTTTATTGCGCCGGTGTATTGATTTGCATTATGCTATCTAGCCAGTTAATTTATTCGTTATAAAAAATAAATAAATTGTCATAAATGTTTATAAACGTTTCACTTTGTCTCAGATATTTGTGATGATCGAGTATATTAATGCATGATGCGAAAACGACTGTACACTAGTCATAGTTACCCTCTGTCGCACAGTATGAGTTTTGCTATTAGTACCCATTGTCCGTAATGATTTAAAGGGTATTCAACATAAAGTGAACCTCAATGGAGAATATATCATTCACTAATGGACATAATTTTTACCTTTATTTTAGAATAAATGGCATACAAACAATCACATGTGCTGATCTCTAACTTAATACCAACCTCTCAACGGTATTTTTCAACGCAATGTAAGGTAAAACAATTATTGTTTTATTTTGTCTCAACATTTTTTAAAGTATTTGATCTGAACTGTCATAAGTGAAGTTATAAGTAAATGTCTCACATGATGTACATGTTGTCAGTAATATTTAAAGTAGTAGACCCAGGTTGAGGGAATCAACTCTTTAAAATCAGTTATGCGTTTTACAAGTCGGTCCCTTCAATGCTTTTAACAAAATTAAAATAATCTGCGTTACTTAGAAGTTTACAATAAAATGGCACAAAGATACCAGTTACCTTGGCCTTGGTCTACTATAAATTTCTTAATAAAATTAGTCAATCAATGTTTATTGAATACTAATCAAAATAACAAATTTGTATAAAACTGCTAAATGCTCAATGCCAAAATAATTATTTTGATAACTGTTAATGATATGTTTGTAATGAAGTATTAATTTTATTAAAAGTTAGTTAAATGGAAATATACTTGGACATTATTTTTATTGTTGCTTATCAATTAACTAAGGAATTTTCTTTTATATATATTAATATTGTAATATGTTAGGAAAATGAATATTAAGAGAAAACATATTATCAATTTCCATATCTGTCGCTGGTAGAGTAATTGTTCATTATTTATATTTTGGTAGGTTAAATTTACATTAATATATGCATATATATTATATGTGTGTGTATCTATGCAATACAATTGATAACATACGATATTATTAGTGATGTGTGTATGTATGTGTATGAATACAATCGTGAAAGTATACATTAATCAGTAAGACATTCAAAAAAGATAATATAAAAACGGCGGATTTATAGTTCCTTCTCGTGAAGAGACACACTGGCATTATATTGGAGTTCGGTATTGGGTCTTGATGTTTATATTTTAATCATGATTAGTATTTATAGTTATTTGATATTTATAAGGATTCAGTGGCAAAGCAAATTAAGCGGAAAACGTTTTAACTCTTGACCGGAAGATCTACCATAGTTGAAATGACTGCTTCACTATGTTAAGAAGAGGCATATGAAATTTTAAGTTATCGCGGTATAGCATCAATTCCATTAAAATATCACGTGATGTTTGATACGCCCATTGTTAAACTAGTTAATGTCATGGTGGTTATTTTACGTAAATAAGAGTTACCGGTCTTGATAACAATTTCACCAAATACCATACACATTTTCTAGTTCACACTAAGGGTCCTTAGCGAAGTATTTTTCTTTAAAATAAGAATGAATGGCAATTTATTTTAATTGATATCATATTTACCAATTTCATCCGTAACAGTGACACGATATGTTCACGTGATGTACCTGCTTATGTTTTCTATACTCTGATTATATATATATTGTATACGTGAGTATGTTTATATGATATGTGTAAATGTATGTATATAAATGGTATAATTGCTTAGTATAAATGTAGTTACGGAGTGTAAGCATTGTGTAAGATTATATATATTGAATATACATTTTTACAAAACGAATTTTCTCTTCTCATTACTTGATTCTTTCTATGAAATACAACTATGCAGACTGCAGCTACATGGATATGTTCCTCTTGTTGCAACCCCGTCCCCCTTTCCTAGTTAAGAATCAACATCACTGAATCCGGTATTTATTTGCCATGGACAACACGACGTGTGCCACTGGTGGAACAGGAAATTTCTATTTTGATGCTGCCCATGTTGCTCAATTTTACTGAGTTTCCGTGCAGAGTTCCATGTGGTGTTCCGTCAACTGTTGTTTTCTTGTTAGTTTTTTTATACCCCCGCTTTAAAAAAATAGGGGGTATACTGTTTTACCTCTGTCTGTCCGTCCATCCATCCGTCATTTCCGTCAGTCCATCCATCAGTCCGTCCGTCCGTCCCAAGGGTTTATATGAGTCTGCTATACCGTGTGATGCGTTTTCAGATTCATCACTCAACAACTTCCTGTTTACCTTATACTTTTAGCGGGCGGGGGTATCATTAGTGAGCAGTAGCTCACAGATTCACTTGTTTTTATTATGTTGTTTCTATTCTTCACCGTGATTATGCTCCTGGGTGTCCACTTTAACCTCGTTTTTATTCAGAACATTAAAACAACTATATTAGATAATTTTACATGACAATTCCAGCCTCATGATAATATATCGTTATTGTGGACATCGGGTTGATAATAGAAAGGCCATATCCCTATAAGCTCGAAACTTACCTTTAGTATAAACTATGTAAATGTATGTGCCTTCCCCGGCTCAGCATGTCTGTCTAGTACAAACCAGGGTTAATATTCATATTACATTAACATTTTCTCGTCCTGAAGATATGCATAGTTTCCCGCTGGACGTTAAACAGCCTCCTACCACCTACACCACCACCACCATCATCATCATCCGGATGACTTTGATACACATTAAAAAGAACCAGCGACGGAGCAGCATCCATAACGTACATGAATTTCTGTAGGGATAATAGATATTCACGACAGTATGGTAAAAAATAATCATGATTTTATGTAATTTTATTATTTAAATGCTGTATTTATACTTCTTGTAATGAGCAATTCAGATTCCAATGCAATTAAATTTTACCAAAGTTTACCAAATATTTCAAAAGCGTACAAAAAAGCTTTGTGATAAGTTAACAAGGGTTAACAACTTCTGAAACTATTTATTACTGTCAAATTGCAAAAGCTTTTTTAAAACTTTGGTGAACACAAATTTAAATACCCACAATCCTTTTAATTATGCCATTGATTCTTGACCTGGTCAAAAAATGCAGACAATGTACATGTATCTCCCACATGTCTGACACCAGACAAGGAACTCACGAAATACATATTCTCCTGTGTATACTTCCGGTCAAGTGTATTGTCTAACTCATTTTGGTTCATATTTTGGCACTTGTCCTGACGATGATATTAAAGTTCAATTTGATCAAAATGCAGATGCTGTGCCCACGATTCGCTTACAAAGATCTGACAACACTCCGCCCATTTCTGTTCAGATAAATTTTATATCAACCAATGACATTTCTGCCTCTAAACTTTTGAAGGTGTGTATCATAATGACAAAACATGAGAATCCCAAAATGTCGTAAAAATAGAAATTAGATTGGAGCGTTTACAGATCCTTGTATTAATGCAAAGCATGGACACAGGATCTGTATTTTAATCAGATTGATAAAAGTTGTTTTTTTCTTTTCCCTTACCGATGGACAGATGTTCTCTCAAAATCGATGTCACATGGTTGATAGTACATGAGGGTCTGAAAGCAGTTTACAGAATAGAGAATCATGGGCCACACAATAAGGAAGGGAAACAAAAATAAACAAACAAAGTAAAGAAAACGAGAATAACGGGTTGCTGAAATATATATATATATAGAATAGAAAAAAATGTTCGAACATTAAAGAAGAGAGAAAAATTTTCTTAAAAATACAGAAATGAAGACTCTTTACATATGTCAATCAGATACGGATATAAAATCTTGATAGATCATACGACGAGAACTTCTAGGGAGGAGGCCGTTATGGGGGTTGAAACCCCACTTTTTCGATTTCTCTTTTTTTCTTTTTTTCTTTTTGGTTATGGTGTTCTGGGAGTTGGAACCCTTCCCCTTTCAATTACTGTATGCTATCACTATGTATTCTGTTATATCTCCCTCTTTCTTTTTCATGGGAATGAACATTTAGCTATAATAGAACGATCAGACTTGAAAGTAAGTTGACCAACATATTGTGTACATTCTCCTATCTTTGAAATATTACGGGAAAAATCTATTTTTTTCAGAATAAAAAAAATTAGAGCGTTGATCTTGTAAGTTTTGATCTAAAATGCGCTGATTTAATTGAATAAAATTTTTTAATATTTTTATTTAACCCTTGGCCAAAAAAGGGGAACCTAAGATTTTGGCGACATGTTTGAATATTAATTGCCCAAGGATTCGTTTTCCAGGTGGCTTTAAATAATCCTGAGCTTATGTGAGCCCACAATAATGGGGATATAAACTGAGTCAAAAAGTATGATCAAATTTAACTAAATGGTTCAAATATTTACTAGAGGACATAATAATTTTAGTTCTTTGGGGAAATCTAGGTAATTCAGCTCTACTTGCATCGTTAGAAGTTTTACAATTAACTCCTAGGATTTCTTTAATAAATTTAAACCCGCTGCATTTTTATGCACCTGTCCTAGGTCAGGAGCCTGTTGTTCAGTGGTTGTCGTTTGTTGGTGTGGTTCATAGGTGTTTCTCGTTTCTCGTTTTTTATATAGATTAGGCCGTTGGTTTTCCTGTTTGAATTGTTTTAAACTAGTCATTTTGGGGCCCTTTATAGCTTGCTGTTCGGTATGAGCCAAGGCTCCGTGTTGAAGGCCGTACTTTGACCTATAACTGTTAACTTTTCATACATTGTGACTTGGATGACACTCATACCACATCCTTATTTGTATTAATGTGAAACGTTTCATAAGGATCAGAGTCACGATTTTTAAACATTCTCTCTACCTCGCACGTCACAACGATATAACAATAATGGGGATATAAACTGAGTCAAAAAGTTTCTCATATAGAATGTGGCGGGGTTAAACACGTATCTGATCGCCCAATTTTCCCCTAACCTGGAACCGTGATGAAACAGCTATTAAACATAATAAATGTGGTATTTGCAATGAAGAGTTTAGACGAAAAGGTGAATAACACTGCTTCATATGAACACATCATGATGACAATCTTTTACAAATGTGAAATATAAAGTACATACATGTAGCTTGATTAGTTAGTTAGATTATGAATGGTTTTGAAAATTGAGTAATCTTCTTGGTTAAAATCTCATCGAATGGGTCAGTCAGAACTTACAGAGACAGGTAAACAAATATAAAAGAGGTGTAAGTGTTAACGTCCAATGACAAATATTTAACGTGTGTTCAGGGCGGGAACTTACGGACATAAGAACACATATAAATGTGCATATAAAGTGTTTAATGGGTCAATAACAGTCAAAGCTTACAGAAATTGATTGATTGATTGTTGGTTGCTTAGCGTCCAGTGACAACCCCTCAAACTACAGAGGTATAGCACTTTCTAGCTGCTTAGGAAAATTTTTCTCAAGAGTTTTATATAATCGTTTAGAAAAGTATTCTGAAACTAATAAAATTATTTGTCGTGAACAGATTGGATTCAAAAAAGGATGCAGAACTAGTGATCACATTCTAACTTTAAAAACTATTTTTGATAAAGCTTTTAAATCAAACAAAAGAATATATGCATGTTTTATTGATTTTAAAAAAGCTTTTGACACTATAAATAGAGAGGCCCTATTACACAAACTTGCTGAATATAACATAAATGGACCATTCCTCAATATTCTAAAAGATATGTACAAAGAAGTTTTATTTGCAGTTAAAGTCACTGAAGGCATTACTAAGATGTTTCCTTCCACAGTTGGAGTAAAACAAGGCTGCATTCTAAGCCCTACCTTATTTTCTTTTTATATAAATGATTTAACCTCCATGTTTGATACCTCATGTGATCCTGTAACATTACATGACATAAAATTGTCTAGTCTTTTATATGCTGATGACTTAGTATTAATATCAGAATCTTCAGAAGGTTTACAAAATTGTCTAAACAAGTTAAACACTTATTGTGAAAAATGGAACTTGACTGTCAATCTTGACAAGACGAAAACAATGATATTTAATAAAAGTGGTAAAAAACTTACTAAAGACAAGTTTGTATTGAATAATGAAGTAATCGAATGCTGCACAGAATATAAATATTTAGGTATACTATTCAAGGCATCAGGAATTTTCACTAATGCTGTAAATCTCCTCTGTAAAAAAGCTTCAAAGGCATTGTTTTGTATTAAAAAAATCCTTTACTCAGATAAGATGGATGTTTTTTCCCATATGAAACTTTTTAATTCTTGTGTTAGTCCAATATTATTGTATTGTAGTGAGATATGGTCACTAAATATTGTGAAGAACAACAAAACTCTTGAATCTCAATATTTATCAATGGAATCAGTAAAACTCCAGATCAAATTTGCGAAAAGTCTTCTTAATGTTAATTCAAAGGCAGTAAATACAGCTGTATTAGCTGAATTGGGAATGTACCCTATTGGTATACAGGCCCTTAAGTCTTCTGTAGGATTTTGGTTACATATTTTAAATTCAAATGAAAATGAGTCTTTATTATATAATGTTTATAAAGTTAACAAGCAGTTAAATGATGGATTTGCTTCAAAAATTAAAATGCTTCTATCAAAATTGAATTTCACTCATGTTTGGGAAAATCAATGTACCTTTTCTAAAAAACGATTACTTTTAGCCCTCGTGAAGAAGCTCAATGAAAATTACATTATATTTTGGAAAAATTGTCTATTTAATGATGATAATTCAATAAATGGAAATAAACTAAGAACCTACAGAAAATTTAAAGTAAAGTATGAACTAGAAAAGTACCTTTTATTGAATTTAGATAAAAATGTTACAAAAAATTATGCCA